GCTTCTCCTCGCCCGCAGGTGGCCTTGGCCGTGGCGCTGGACCTGAGGACCTTCCTCCGGCTGCGGCCCTGCTGTGAGGGCAGGGTGTGCGTCCGCCTGCCCGGCGTCGGCGTCGTGAGGAGCTGGGACACCTCCTGCCTCCAGGCCCTGCGGAGGGGGTTTGAAGGCAAGCGCTGGGAGGAGGAAACCGTTACCTGCGTGTTGTGTGGGGCTGTCGGTCACACCCAGTGCCTTCTGCCCGGTGACTGACCCCCGTGGGGTGGCTGTGCTGGGACCCCCAGGGTTGTTTGTCCCTCCCGCAGAGTGTTGCTGGGCCTTGTTGTCTCTGACCGTGCTCAGTGTCTGTTTAACTAACGTGTCCCTGCACACTCCCAGCTTGGGCACCCACACTCCCTCCGTCTGCCTCTTGTGACCTGCCTGATCCTCTGGTATCCGTGAGTGGCCCTTGCCATGGCTGTGTCCTCCTGTTTCGGGTTCCTAGGGGCTTGTTTTACTTGTTTTAGTGCTGCTGTAGTTCAAACAGTGTTGTAATACGTACAGGAGCCAGCTAGGGACCACGTCCAGGTGTATTACTGATGGAGGAGCCAAAGAGGGGTCTCTCTGAAGGTGGTCTGAGTTGAGGGCCTTGGGGAAGGCAGGGATATGGGGCCTGTTTTCCTGCCCCATGCCAGCCCTTACTGGAATTTCTGCAGTATCTTGTACCAAGTGGAGCCCCTGACTGGTGGTTGTGCCGTGTCCCTCCAGAGGACCTGGCATTAACTCCTGTGATCCTCATGAGCACCGTTAGCTTAGCAGAAGGCAGAACAAAGTCTGCTGCCTCAGAGCATTGGTAACCTCTCTTGACACTGATCAAAAGTTCTCTTACACTGATCTTGGCTGTTTGGAGTCCAGACTCATGTGAAGTACACCAGAATATCCACGTTCTTTAATAAAGAGTTTGTGACTAGCCCAGTTCTATATGGTGATGGATGGGTGCACTGAGAAGTGTAGGCAAGGAGACAGTTGCTGTAATACAATACAGGTGTAGCGTGTGGAAGCACTGGGTTTTTGGAGTGGCTGGTGGAGATTTTGCTTTTGTTTCATCATGAATCCTCAGGTAGAAAGTTTGTAGGTGAAACCTGAAATTGGCTCCATCAGTTTCTGCCTACTATAGCAGGAGATGTTGTTCTTGTAAATACTGCTTTCAAGCTTAACAATTCCCTGGTTTCTAAGTGTTTAAATTCTCCCCTCCTTGCTTCCATAGCTGACTTTGATGAATCTAAGCCCCCCAGCATAGAACAGCTGGATGCGCTGAAAGAGTTTGCTGGAATCGCTGCCGGAGCCTCAGCTCCCGAGAGCCTTGCTACTCTTGCCTTTCTTTATATGTGCCTGGCGATTTCGGCCAAGTATGGGTAAGGCTATATTCCTGCCCCAAAATAAACGTGCTGTCTTGAGTGTTGTTCGCTATTAATTGCTTCTACAAGGTCACAGGTCTTTGAGGCAAAATAAGAAATTACGTGGAATCTCACTTCATTTAGGTTCTGAGCACCTCAGGAGACACTCTTCAGAGCGGAGCTGTTTGGTGGGTGGGGTGCCCCAAGCAGGTGGGCTGGGAATCGTCTGCTTTCATTTAGGCATTTAGCTTTGAGGTGCTTAAGTCAGAGCAGTTCATCCCACCCTTCCTGCACAGTCAACAGAAGCAGACACAGACATCCCTCCATCCAACAGGCAGCTCATTTCCTCCTGGCTTAGGTTAGAAAAACTGCTCCAGAAATGAGCTGTGAATTCATTGTCAACTGAGTCTGATCCCTCTCGTGGGCTGAATCTCCCTGAAAATATGAGAACTTGGGGTAACTGCAGCTCAGGGCTGTTCCAGTTTCTAAACTTGACCACCACCGTTGATATGAGTGTAAGTTACTGGACAGGTGCTCAGGGCAATGTCCGATACAGCACTGATTGCTCTTTTAAACCAAATCAGAACCTGCCTTCAGTATTCATAGCAAAGGAATCAAAGGTTAAAGAATTATAATGTGTAGCTGCGTTGTGTTTTGCTTTGCAGTCTCTGAGTTGCTTGGTGATAGCACTGGGGCTGTCATCAGCTGGCTCTGGAACCATCGGTTTGTAGTTCATGTCACTCACCAGCCAGTGAAAAGCTCCTGGGTTCGATGTTAGGGTCTGTAACACAACCCAGCTGTGTTCAGTGGAGAAAAAGGGCATGTGGGCACAGATATGTGAATATTTCGTCTTCCCCCATCAGCTTGTCGCTCCAGTGGGTCGTAACTATGCAGTTATGAATTTGGGATATTTATGCTTTAGTTAGGGATATGTTTAAAATCGTGTTTACAACAATCTTTGAAGGGTCTCTTTATGGTGCTACTCAAGTATTTAGTTACTAAGTGCCCCTGCTAGCAGCTTGACAAGCTGTGCTAATCATAGATCCAATTCAGCAAGGCTTTGTTCTAGTACAATGGCTTAGCAAGGCTACTCAGCTGTGCTAACTGAGCACTCGTGAAGCCCGTGTGTGGCGGATGCGTGTGCATGTGCTGATGTTGCCAGTTTTCAACTAGCTTTTTCTGTGATTGCTCCTAATTGGCATCTTTAGCCTTTGAAATATTCTCTCAAGGTGGAATTCAAGGTCGGTGTCTTAGATCCTGTGTGTTTGTGTTTCAGAGATGTTCCGAGCATGGACATACTGGTGTGGTCCGAGCTGCCCACGGGAGCTGGGCTGGGTTCAAGTGCCGCCTATGCCGTTTGCTTGGCGGCGGCCCTGCTGGTGGTGTGTGGAGCCATCTCCTGCCCTCTGAAGGAGGGAGAGTCCACGGCCAGGTAACGCATCAAGGAAGCCTCCCTGCTTTGGATGCACAGCCCGGGGCAGCTCTGCTCTCTGGGCCCCTCTCTTTCCTTTTACCTGCACACATTCTGGCCCTGGCACCTCTCTCCCATCTCTCTGGCCAACCCCTGGGCTGTGGCTGCAGCAGTGGCACCCTGAGCCCGGCTCCTTTCCCTTCCTCTCTTATTGCAGCCCAGTGTTCCCAGCAGCAGAGATGTGCCCCGTCCCAGAGCTCTGGCCTGTGAATCACGTGTTTACAGTTCCCTTCTGATAAAAACAACTGGATGCAAAGACTTTGTAAAACTTACACCATTTCCCTTGTCTAGTGTAAGATATACATACTTTTTTTAAAAAAAAGTTTCATTTTGCCAAGTAAATAAAACACTTTAATGTGGCGAATATTTTTTTTTAACCTCTATTTCCTCTCTGTCCCTGAGCATCTTGCAGGTTTTGCTTTGAACCCTCAAGGAGTCAAGGATCCATTGTGGGTTTTCTGCGTTTCCACATGAATTTTTTTTTTCTGCGTGTGGTACATTTCTTCCTGATCTCCTGCCTGAGTTTCCCCTTTATCAGTGGCTGGTGAAAGGGAGTTTCTTTCCTTCTGCCCTTGGGTTGCTTTCCCTTGGAGTTCGGTCTTGAAAAACTGGTCTGCTCTGCTGTGTGTCTGAGGAGGCTCTGTTTAAAGATGCATATCACAGCTGGAGTGGCAGAACCCTCTATTGTGCGCTCTGTGCCAGGTGCAACCTTTTATGGTTGGCTTCTGTGGATTTTGTGTGGGTCTGAAAGTGAGGCAGCAAGAGGGGGGTGACTGTGTTCTGCTTCAAAACCAGAATTTGCAGCCTGACCCAGAAACATGTTCTTGGAGCAGAGCAGTTTGTATGCCATGCTCAGGCAAATCTCCCAAATAGTCACGCGGCATGAGAAATGAAAAGCCAGTTCCAAACCAGGCAGCAAGCATGTCTTCATTCCCTGCTTGCACTTCTTAGCTTCAGCTTGAATACAGCGTAATTTTTTTTTCTTCCAGCTGGCATGCAGAGGGGTAAGTGAGAGATGGGGGTGTCAGACTTCAGAAGGTTTTTGCTTAACGTCGCAAGAAAAGAACAGCGTGATATAATGACTCCTGTGTAGAGAAGAATCACAGCCTCTCAAAGAGGATTAAAAACAAGTGGTTTACAGCAAACTGCGCTTCTATTTTGAGTAGCGGTGGTGTGAGCTGTTTTTCTGAATGCTTCACAGATTAAATATTGGCAAGTGAAATGAAAGGTGTGTGGAGACGGATAAAGACATTCGGCTGAGGCCCAGGGAAGTGGGAAGTTAAAGGAAGCAGCTTCCAGATAGCAGGTGGCTCTCAGAACTTCTGTCTTGCCTTAGCAGTGGTCCATGAGCATTCTCATTATTTCATATAAGACTGTGTCATGCTTTTCCAAAATCCATGTTTGTGCCTCTGCTCCATCATGTGATACCTGTTCTGGGCCCCATATTCTAAAAACCTGTCGCACGCACGTTCTGACTGCACCAGACAGCAGCTCCGATCTCTGCCGAACATCGCTGATGCTGGAGTATCTGATACTGCCGGGCATTAGGCCATTTGCACGGTGGCTTGGAACATGCGCTGAGTGTCTGGACTGCGGAGCAGGCAGTGTTGTGTTGCAGGGGAGAGTCAGAAATGTGTGTTTGTGTGCCTGTGCAAGTCTTAAGCGTGTTACAGCAGGGTGCAGGAGGGCTAGCTGGCTCCCTGTGGGCGTTGAGCTTCCCTTGGGGTGCTGGGGTTTGAGACAGTCCTTCAGTGTGGAGTGAGCGAGTGGGTTTGAAACAGCCTGGTGAGTTCTGAAGGTGGTTGTGGGGTGCATGCCTTCTAGGCTCAGAGCAGTGGGGGTTTGAGAGGTGCTGAGGGAGAAATCACTGTGGTGGAATTGCGGTGAAGTTGCAGGCAGCAATTGCTTTGTTAACTGGCGGCTCTGCGTTTGCTTTTTGTATTGCTGCAGCCCACTAACTAGTATGTTCAGTCAGGGGCCTTGATCCTTGCTGAGTCTGACCCAGCACCAAACTCTTTGTGCCAGCATTTGAACCCTCGAAGGACTTACCAATTTATGTGACTGCTTTTAAGACAACAGAAAGACCTGTTTTTGTGTTTTTAGCATTACACCTTCTGGATCTGCATTTGGTTCCCTTCTGTGCTCTAAGTGCCAGCACCCTGTGCAGCTTGAAGTGTTAGGAGTTAATCCCTAAAAATCAAAGTCTTTGCTGGAGATTGTAAATCAGTTCTAACTACACCTTTTGACCCAATTTGTGAGGCTTCTGCAGCTGAGCAGCTGGCAATTAGAGCCTGAAGTTGCATGTGTGAAATGCAACTTTTACTATTCTCTTCTCACACCGCCCTTTCTGCATCTATAAACACAATGTCCTGCCTGTTGGCGAGAAGGATCTCGGGCCAAGATGGGTGGTAACACGCAGTGTTGAGAATAGGTCTGGACTTGCATTCAGTTGTATTTGATCTTCACTAGGCCAGGACTAGGATGTTCTGCCCGAATCTGCTCCCTCCCTCGCCGCTGGCCTGCAGCAGGAGCACTGGGTAGGGGCTGTGCCCTTTGTGCTGTCTATGTCCACAGAGCCGTGCCAGTTCGTGGTGCGGGGCTGGATGTGTTTCTACATGCTGCTGTGCAGAAAGGTGCTGAGTGCTGGTTAGGTGCTGTAAACAGCAATGCCCGCTCTCTGCTAAAAGTATGAAGTACACAGAGGGGATTTGCGGTGCTGGGATTTCCCACAGTAACTGGGTGCCTTGTGTGGTTCCTGCTGCTTTTGCATCTCCTGTGACCTCTGGTGCTTCCCTCTGTCGCTCAGGGTGTGCTGTTTTCGGTTGTGTACTGGAATCATTTTCTTGCCTTTCAGGTGGACAGAAGAAGAGCTGACTTTGATTAACAGCTGGGCCTTCCAAGGGGAGCGGGTGATCCATGGCAATCCGTCGGGTGTGGATAATGCTGTTGGTACCTGGGGTATGTGTGTGTTTGCTGCTCCCCTGCACTGAATATGGGTGCTGAGGAGAGGCTGACAGGGTGGCAGAGCAGCAGACGTGTTTCTCCGCTGCGGAGTATGCGTCAGCTGTGGGAAGGTTGTGACCAAATGCCACAAGTTGCAGTTCTGCAAACGATAAGGCTTGGTTGGTGTTGCTGCAAGGACACTGGATGGAGCAACCTCACTGCATTGAAGTGCAGCGAAGGGAACAAACTCTCAAATTCAGGTCCCCGTTTTGATCGGAGGAGAGGGAATCCTTTTCTGTCTTGGTTTACCCCATCTGTAAACTGGGACTGAAGCCAATTGGGCTGTTGGGGACTTACTGCAGTAACACCAGAGATCTGCATCCCCCAGGCATGTGCCATGGGGCAGAGACCCTGCTGCAGATAACTGATATTTAAACATTGTGGCGTGAACAAAGAAACCTAATCCTGTCCCGAGGATAATGCGGTAGAAAATGCAGTTGGACAGCTGTCATTTAGTTTCAATTAGCAGAGACTTCCAAGTGTTTTGGAAGGGTCCTTGGAGACTTTTAATAATCTTTCTAATGAGACCTAATCGCAGTGCCTCTGTAAAAGTAGGAGCCAAGTGAGACATTCCTTCTGGACAATGAAATTCCACGCTGAAGGACGGCTGCTGACATGAGTGCACACGTTCAGTCCGGTTTGAATCCTGTGTGCTTTGCTCTGCCACAGGGAATCACTGCTTGATTATTTTTTTTCATTAAGGATTTAATGCTAGCCAAACTCTTTGCCTTTTTAAAAATATTTAATGTGATCCCAGAATAGAGGAGAGCAAAGGGAAAGGCCTTGGGTTAACTGTGTCCGGCCAGACCCTCTCATTAAGTCAACAGGGTTAGGCAGATTCATGCTGCCTGAGAACATGGTTCATTTAGCTGGTGTTTCTTGCAATTACTGTCATATGCTCTGGGTGAGGTTCTAAAGATGAAAGACCTTCTGTCTCTTATGACACTGTGTTATCTCTCAGCTCGCTGCGTACTGAGACAATGCATGTATTTTACTTTAGGTGGAGCCCTGAGATACCAATCAGGAAAAATCACACCATTAAAGAGGTAATATTCGAGTTTAAAAATAACACTTACATACGGTGGGTGGAATATGCGAAAGAGGCATTGGGTGGATCTTGTAGAATATGAGATTGATGGGAGATCGCTAACAGCATGGCGGAAGGGCTTTGTAGCCAGATTTTGCTGTGGGTGTGGGGAGCTTGAGTGTTGTCTTGGTTTGGGGTGGACGGGAACAATGAAATGTTTGGTCATTATCTGACATTAGATGAACACAGCACAAAGAATCAATATTAATTTCATGGCATTATGGGCAGCAGGAACGGATCTGCTCCTGGCAGCAAATGACATTGTGGGAAGGGGGAACTTTTTGCTTACCTGGTGGTAGGATTGTGTGAAAACCAAGCTGCAGAGACAAATCCAGGTCCTGCATGTTCCCTCTGCCTCCTGCCAACAAAATATAATCTGACTCCATTAAAATCTTTCAGTGTATGAAATTGCTCTATTAGCAGTTAATGGCTACTGCTGGCTAGTCTCATAGATAGTATTTCAAAGGAAAAATTTTGCTTGAAAAATATGGATTTCAGTAAATACATTACAGTCCTATTTATAGCACTAGTACAGTTGTTCCTTGTATCTAAGAGGAACAAGCCTGAACCCAGCCAGCACTTAAGCACCTGCTTAACTTTTTTAAGACTAATGGGACTCCTTATCTTGGGTGTTTTGCTCGAATAGGCCTTTCGAGGCAGAACAAACAGCAGCTGTCTGGGCCTTGGGAGCTGCTGGGGGACTGTGAAGGGAAGAGACAAGGAGATGTCTCTTGTTGCTTCCAGGGTGCCAATGCTGAGGATCTTGCTGACCAACACAAAAGTCCCTCGAAGCACCAAGGTCCTGGTGGCTGGTGTCAAGGAAAAGATCCTGAAGGTGCAGCAGCTGCGTGTTCACCGGGATGGAGATGTGTGCTGGGTGGGGAGATAACCCTCACAAGCTCAGATCTCCTTATGTGGGACTGCAGGACTCACGAGGATCTCTTGGGAGATCCATCCTGTGGTCACTGCGATCCTGTCTGCTGCTGGCTAAGGCCCAGCTGCCCTGGGAATGGAGGTTCAGCTCATTCCTCCCTTCCTCCAGCATTAACAGGGCTGGCCACAAAAATCACCAGTTTGCAACCATGGAAAGAGTAGTTCCTTCCTCTGGCCTCTTTCCTTCTCTTCCTCAGTTTTCTGCATTTGGGAGCAACTTACCATTGCCCCCCTGCTCCACAGTGGGTTTTTCTGTGAATGAGTAGCCCCAAATGGGATGAGGAATTGTCCAGCTCAAAGAGACTGGGGCTGGTTTTATCACAGTGGTATTAGAAGACGAGTGAGCAATCTTCTCACATCTTGCCTTCCCCCCTTCTCAGTTCCCTGCTATAATGAACCCGGTGCTGGACTCCATCGATGCAATTTCTCAGGAGTGCCAAAGTGTTCTGGAAGCGATGCCTGGAAATCCATCACCAGAGTATTACCCTGTGCTGGAGGTAAGGGGCTTGTTCGTCAGTATTTTTAGACACTGTTACTGTTGAACATCAAAATGTCATTTAAAGAACATTAGGTCTAAGAAAAAATTTGATAGCAGGAAATGTTCAGTTCCGAGTAAAACCATGGTCTGTGTGCGCTGCTTTTAATGCCCTTCCTGGAGCCAAAGGACAGAAAATGCTGCTGGGGTCTCTCCACAGCAGTGGGGAGGGAGGGAGGGAGTGGGCCTGGTGCTTTATGGAACTGTAGCTTTGGAGGTTTTGTTTCCCTTTGCTAAGAAACATGGAGTGAGTTCAGGCTGAGATGCTGTCTCCCTGTGCCATGGGCCAGCTACGCTGGTTCTGGCAGTTGCTGCCTGTGGAGCAACTGCTTTGTCATTGCCAAGGCTGGAGTGAAGAGCAGAGAGCCCAGCAGCCACTGGTTTGTGATGGACTGGTTACGAGCCAGCTCCCATTGCTCTGCGCTCATCCTGGCTCCAGAGGATAACAGAGCTGTGCCCAGAGCTGACCTGACATTGATGCATGAGGTGCGTACAGAGATCTGTGTTTGTCTTGGCTTTGTTCAAAGTAGGAGAGGCTGCTGTAGTGGGGTGGGAAACATGCTTCCAAGTGGAAGGAAGTTTTGGGGTTTTTTTGCAGTGCTGAGGGCGCGGTAATACTGATTCTCACAACCATGAGGTAAGGATGTGTGGCAGTGACCCAGCTGAGGCAAACGTGGCCTGGCCCTGGGTGCCAAGTGACTTGGACCATCAAGAACCATTTGGTACCAGCGGTGCCGTTCCTTGTTGGCATCTGGATGCCTCCCCTCGGCTCTCCCGCGAGGACCTCTGCTTGTCCTTACTCTGACTGGCAGGTTATCCCCTCCACAGCCAAGAGCATGCTCCAGAGGTGCCGGAGAAGACTCTGGGGTGGGACAAAGAGCTGCTGTCCCAGCTTGACCTGTGGCAGTGGAGTAGGGCCACCCCATTAGCACACGGTTGGTAAAGCCTTCTCCTCCTTCCTTCAGGCTGTGTTGCACCTCACTGCGTGTGGGTGAGCTGCTGCTGGGACTGCAGCAGGCACGGGAGCATCTCCCCTGGGGTTCATAGCAAAGTCCTTTTGCTCCCTTCACACCAAGGAGGGGGCGGTGGGTTTCTGTATCCATCAGAGTGGGCTGAGTTGGCATCGACTGGGGATATTTGAAGTCTGTTTGCAGCGCAACTTCAGCCAACTCTTCTCCACCTTCATGCCGTATTGCTCAGGCTGTCAGAAGTATTGGGGGAACGGGGAAGAGGAGGGTTAATTTGAAGTGTGCTCTGAGATCCTCACGTGAAAGATGCCAAAGCAGTCTTGTATACAATGCCTGGGAAGCAGCACTGCAGTGAGCAGGTTTCTGTCTTGCATCTGTTTTGTCTTGTGCTTGAAGAGCCCACAGAGGCACAGTTGATTATATGCAGCATATATATATATATATTTGGCTGTTTCTGAAATGTGCGGTTCTGGACAGCATTGTGTTTGAACCATCAAACTAGTCTACTGTGTCATAAGCTGTCATCCGATTCCTGGCAGATTTTGGATCAGGAGATGACAGGTGTCTTGGATCATCATAGACAGTGCTGTGCCCTCACTCGGGCATATAAAGAGGCCTCTAGATGGACGTCTGTCCAACCCAGCACAGAATTTGTGATATAGGCACTCTGTATGTGCCTGGCTAATTCATCTCCCTGCATTTGGTTAAACACAGTACAGAAGTTCCCTGGAGGGGAGGAGAGGGATTATTTCTGCATCATCCCCTCCTGTGCAATGTTGGCAGGAGACCCGTGTGGAGCTGAGGGAGGGTGATATGACTGACACACACCATGCTGTAGCGTGGCTCCCGGTGTGCAGCATCTCTCCTGGTGTGCGACATCCCTCCCGGCTCACCACGAGCTGCAGGCAGGGAAATGTTTGGTGGCACCGGCTGGAGGAGGGAGCACAGGGCTCCTATTAGGGAGCCTCTCTGGGACTGGTCCCATCTCCTGGCTCCCTGCTTGTGACACCCTCCAGGACAGCAAGGGGAATAGCCACCACGCACTGGGGAAGTGATCGAGTCGGGGTGTCGGACCAGTGTAGCTGAGAACGAGCTTCCTCCACTGATGGTGCTGATGGGCTGGGAGGGCACTGCGGTACTTGGGGGCCTGATATTGGTTCCTGGCCCTGCTCCAGGCTTGCTCTGAGTGCGGGCCGAGCCTTTCCCTCTGTTCCTTAATTCCTCACCTCTGGTACTGGGAGGAGAGAAGCTGTAACTCCCACCTCTGTGTGGTGTTTGTCCATCCCTTGGGCCATTTTCCAGGAGCAGCAGGGTTTGTGGCTGGCTGGGACAGCGTGGCAGAGATGCGCTTGCAGCTCAGCAAAGCTGGGCAGCTCTGCTTCGACGGCAGCCTTGCTCAGAGAGTGGCTTGTGCTGCTCTCCCCCGAAGGGAGAACCCTTTCGACCCCACTTGAGCTGGGTGCCAGGTTCCCAGCACGGTGCTGGTGAGAGGCCCCTTGGCTCACAGCCCGGGCCCTGCCCGCCAGGAGGGAGAAATTCTGCACAATGCAAACAAGGGGAGGTTAACTCCACCTCGCCTCTCCAGCAATGCCTTTAGGGACTTGGCTGTGTCAGAAGTCCCCTGGATTTAGTTACGCTGGATGGATTGCAGGGCAGGGTGACAGCCAGGAATGAGAGATGCTGGCTTAGTGCCCTTCCCACGGCCAGCAAGGGGGCTTGCACAGTCTTCTGCTCAACACTCGTGTGACAGGGGAGAGATGAAGCAATCGGGAGGCATTGGGGAGCTCTGATTTAGGGCCTGAAATAAATGCCTGCTGGCAGCTTGTGGTGATCAGGATTTTCTCAGGAGGTCCAGAAGCTGTTGTACTACTGTTGCTGTGGTGGGCAGCAGCAGCACAAGTTGTAACAGGGACAGATGAGTGGCCCAGGGCTCAGACTCTGGCCTTGACCTTGCTGCCTAGTGCTGCTGGGCCCTGAGACCGGCTGGTGGCCGAACTCCCTGTAGAAATGAGATGGCTGTGGTGGGGGATGACTGGGAAGGCAGGGGAACTCCCCTGCACCTTGCTGGGGAAGGACCCACGGCTGTAAAGAGCCTCTCTCACAACGCACGCTCATCTCATGTGTGTGTGGTTACTTTTAGGAATTCTTTGATATAAACCAACACCACTTAAACGTGATCGGAGTCGGCCATCCCTCCCTGGACAGGCTGTGTCGGGTGACAGCGTCCCACGGCCTGCATAGCAAGCTGACCGGGGCTGGTGGGGGTGGCTGTGGCATCACCCTGCTGCGACCAGGTCAGTAACTCTCTGCTCGCCCTGGGCATCTTTCCCCTGTTCCACGTGGCCCTGCCAGTGGGGCCAGGCTTGGAAGCAGAGGGATATGATGCTAGCCCTAGTATGACTGTGGGCGGACGTGAAACCATGTCACAAGTGTGGGATGGTGTCTAGCAGAGCTGCTTGGCAGCGTTTCATACAGGGGCGATTCAGTGCGTTCATTTCTGCATGTCAGACCTTCAGGGCGTTGGCCCTGTTCCAAGGCGCACGCGTTTAAACATGCGATGGCCCGTTTCAGTCTCCCTGCGGTGGCCTAGCTAACTGGCTGCTCTTGCCTTCCTCTTGGCAGACACCTCCCCGCTGGCCGTGGAAGCAGCCAAGCGAGACTTATGTGCCTGTGGATTTGAATGTTGGGAGACCAATATCGGGGCCCCCGGAGTGACCCTGCACTCCTCCTCGTCTTTAAACGCCGAAGTGCTGCACGCGCTCTCCGAGAGTTAAGCTTCAGCCTCTGGCAAGACTGAGCTCTTGGCACATTGTCCTTGGAGCGACAGCTTTGTGTGTGCCCTGATGCCTGGAAACTTTTCTCCCACTCTCCTGTGTGGCTAAGGGCCTCTAGACACGGGTGCGGAGCCTATTTTGGGTCTGGTGTTGCTGGGAGTTGGGGGCTGTGATGAGGACCTGGAAGCAACTTGCTCGCACTTGAGTTAGGTGTGAGTTTAACCCAGGCTCTTAAAATCCTGTTTTGAATTTACTTACTCGACTGCTGTGCTAATCCCAAGGGGCAGAAGGAGAGGGTCTTGGCTGTATTCCAGCGCAGATAATGACACTTTGCTTGGTTCTGCTGCTTCGGATGCATGTGGTGTCTCTTCCCTTCTCCCTTGGCGTCCTGCGAGGGCGGGCAGCGGAGGCTGGCAAGGTGGATGTGCAGAGCGCTTTGACATTTTTGGGTGAAAAGTATCTTGGCAGCTTGACACTCAGGTCTCCATTTCTCCTGGACTTTGATTCATGGTGGTGAAGAAACCTTTAAATACACCTTTTATGCTACTAATTAAGAGTTGGATAGTTAAAATGAAAGATACAGCACAGTTCTAGTGAAATTATCTCTGTTTTCGCTCTTTCCCATAATCTCTGCCTGGGCTGATAAGCCAGACTCTGGTTTTTGTTCGTATGCTTGAGGTCTGGTTCAAACAGCAACTGTCACCTGCAAGGAAGGTGGCTAAAGGCAAGGGCAGTCTTAAAATTAATACTTGCAATAGCTGTTCTGGAGTCTCTCCAACTTCAATCTTAAATGAGGATGCCCTTGGCCCTGCCTGTTCTTGGGTCTGCGAAAATGTGCCAGGGCTGGGGGTGGAGAGGGGTCAGTGACAGAGCAAACAGATTTGGTTTAGTTTGAAATAATTGGTTTTAAGTCGGGGGCAGGGGGGGAAGAAGAAAACCACCACCTCCTCAAAAAGCTGACCATAACTTGCAATTGGCAAACTATAAAACCAAAATGCATTTAAACTTATTAGACAAATGTAAATGGGTTTACTTCTGAAATTTTAATGAGTTGTGCCGTGGAACTAAGGGGAATTGGCAGGTAAGTGTCTGAAGCCAGAGCATCTTGAAGTAATAAGCTGACTCTTAGTGGCTGTGGTCTCTTCTATACCTGCCAAAGAGATTTTATCATTGTTCTGTTTGTCTGTTGTTTGTGTTTTATGTTAGTTTTTTTTTTTAAGTGTAGCTCTGATCAAGAATTGCTTCATTCAAAGCTGAGTGATAAATTGGCAGAGGTGGGCGAGCTTGCTGTCCTCTTCCAGCGCAGGAATTACAAAAAAAACAAACAAACAAAAACCCAACCAAAAAAAACCCCAAAACCCAAAAAAAACACCAAGTACAAGAAGTTGAGATGTACTAGCTATGAAATCCTGGCATCATGATGGCCAGCTTTAGTTCACTGATCAGATGTAAAACTGTCTCTGGTTTTAATAAATTGATGGGGTTTTTTATGTGCAAAGTGTTCTTTGATAATTATGCTGGATACAAAAGGAAAAAAGTACCTTACACTGCTTCAATAAAAACAGGTTTCAGATGCTGGGTTTCTACATGTCTAATTACAATTCCAATTTGCATCCGAGAACGGCTTTACACTAATCACAAGTCAGAAAGCCTGATAAATAATTTACCATTTTCTAATACAGTGTAATCAATGTGAGTATCTGGAAGCGTGTTGACTGTATAACTGCTTAAATGTCTCTGTAGTTTCTGCTGGTTAGCACAAAGAAATGCTAAATTCAGCGCAAAGAAACTTCGCTTCAAAACAACATGTCTGGGGCTGATCCTCATTAGCTGCTTTCCTTGGAAGACGGCCTCACAGTCATGGTACGAGTGCTGGAGGAGTATGGAGGAAAAGAACAGAATGAAAATTTGGATTTGTTGGTTTAAATCATAATTAAAATGGGCAATTTTAAATAGTCGGTGTAGGGCCCTGCTGCTGAGCCACCCATGCCCTTTGTTGGACAGCCAAGGTGACGATGTGCTGGCCCTGCCTCGGTTTTCTGTGGCAGAGCAGGAGCTGGAGACCTCGGCTCTACCAAATGTGCTGCCGGATCCTGCGGCTGGGGATGCTTTTGCCTGCGAACTTTCAGCTTTCTCTTCCCAGCCTCTGGTTCGTTTGTGGGCGCGATGGAGGCGTAGGCAGTGACACAGGGAATGATGGTGGCTAAGCCTTGCAGCTGAGACATGCGAGTGATCTGAATTGTGGTGGGGTGCGGCGTTATAGGTGCAAGCTCCCCTTCCCAGGAAGGCTCCGGCCACCTCCGGAGGTTTCCTCCAGCCTCTGCTCCTCCCGCTCTGCTCCCTGCCAGAGCGGAGGTGGGTGATGATCCCTGGCCGAGGGAGAGTTTGTGGCAGCAGCTGCCCCATCCTTGGCATGGGTGGGCAAGATGGGGACCCTGGGCCAGGCTCTGTGAGACTTCACAGAGCTCTGCGCTGCCCCTGGCCTGGGGTAACGTGGGCGGCAGGAGCACTGCCAGGCAGGATGCTGCCTGCCCCAAGGCCGGGGCTTTGCCAGAGCCAGGCTCTGCCTTCCCTCTGCTACAGGGACCAGAACTGCCAAAGTCAGCAGCTGGAACCAGTCCCAATTTGTTAGAAATAAGCATGGATTTCACATCCCTCTGCGAGCACGGGAACACCCGCTCCCTCCTCTCTGTGTTCCTCCCTCCCCAGCTCCATCAAAGGCTTCCCTCGCTACAACCACTGTGATAACGGGGGGGTGCATTTGGCAGGTGCCCGACCCCGACTTTGGCACAGGAATCACCTCTTTGCTTGCACCAACTTACGACCACCTCCTGCGCTTCCCTTGAGCTTTGCACGCCTGCTTTGCAGTGGGGATGGGGGGGATACAGGGGACCCCATCCCTGCACCGTGGGCAGCAGGAGCGGTTGCCCCTCCAGGAGACTTTTCCCCAACGGGGACACGGTGGGTACAGAAGGAGGCACAGCCATGTCTTTCCCTGCAGTTTGCTGCTTTTGGAGCAAAATTGAAATATAAATGAAGCCCAGCGAGCGTGTTCTCCCCAGGGAATGATCCCCTCCTCTCCCTCGGCCCCACCACAAACACACGAGTGCTTTCCCGTCTGCTCTCCCCGGTCTCGTTTTACGGATGTGCAGCGGAGCAGCGATTGCTGCTGAAGGATTAGCCTGGTAATTTGGCTAATTTTTCTTGAGCTTCATTTTTCACATTACGAGCTTTGCAGAAAGACTAACGATCCTGGGTTTGCCTCTAATAGCCAGTGCGGGAACGGGGAGGGGAAGCTGCGCTCCAACCTTTTGCAACAAAAGTAAGGTGCATCGGGGAGGGTGCCCGCTACCCCGGCCAGGCTGGCGTGGGCAAGCGTGGGGCTGCGGGTGGCCTGGCCGGCAGCACCGAGGGAGACAGGGGGGACTTTCCTCTGCTGTGGGACCTGGCAATAGGTGGGGGACACTGGTGTTTCTTGCCTGCCAAAAGTAAAACAGTTTGTATAAAGAAAACCTTTCAAAATCTTCCTTTCCCTTCACTGCCTGTGGATGCTGCCAGCGCATGGGGTGGCATCGCCATCAGGGTGTCCGCAGCGAGCGGGCAGCACCGGGGTGTCTCTCACTGCCCTGGGTGGGCTCCTGTCCCCCCACCCTGACCTGAGACCATGCCGCTCGCTGCCTGTCGGGGCTCGGGGGGTGCTGCCCATCCCCTGCCAGGCACAGATGGTTTTGGTTTTTTTTTAAATCTGTGTCAGCAGTGGCTTCTTTCTGCTCCGGTGAATAGATGCTGAAAAGGCAGTGACATTATTTGAGATATCAGAGAGAAGAGAAAAAGGGTCAGTGAGAGAGAGGAAATGTCAGCGCACAGCCATGGCGGGC